AACATGTAAAAGAACATTCATTAGATACATATCTCATGAATTGAATCTCAAGATAAAACTCAGATTTCTCATTACTTTTTAATATTAAATTTAAGCAAATACTGAAGGAAATTAATGAACAATCAACTAATGGAAATCGGTGGCTCATTTCGAACAAGTTGTAGAGAAAGACTGAATGCTCCAAAGATCTTTTTTTTCAAATCTGGCGTATCTTATAATATTTACATAATTATAAACCACTGTATATTTACTTCAGATATTAGCTATACAATTACGTAACAAGTACTTTGCTTTGTAGAGACATTAGGTTTATTTACCGATACTCGATATACATCACTGCCGATATTTAGACTCCGGACATCCTGATTCGTAGCTGGATGTTCTTCCTATTGCACCACGAAGGTAGATGGTAAGGAAAAAGAAAATTCCTTGCAATCTTCCCCACATAAAGAGAGATTGGAGAGGAGGAGAAATCGCCAAAGACAGGAAAAGACGTATATCATTTTAAAAATGTTTTACATTTAGTTCGGACACATTTAGTTCGGACATATTTTAGTTCGGACACTACTGTAGAATGATTAGGCATTTCTTGTGACTGCTATAGCCTGTTAATTTAGAATATTTTAGAATACTCTTATTTCAAGGCGAACCCCCCCCACACACACACACACAAACAATAACTCATAACTATACAGTGAATGAAGCGGAAAAGAAAAAAATAGGTCGAATCCTCTAATTTGCTAAAATCCTCTAATTCCATTTGCAGTGATGACGGTGTAGGTTACGATCGTTAACGAGAGAAGGAGCTCTATGACCATGAAGTGCCTACTTTAGAGTAACAAACTTTAGCCTAATGCGATCTCAGTTTACGCTGTAAGAAAAGGGAAACTTCCTTTCAAATTTTGAAACATCTCCTTGGAAAAGAAAATAAATGAACTGAATATTAAAAGTAGTGCTTTTTAGCATAATGTGCCACCTAACGTAACAAACATATGAAAAATATATGCCTCCTTTCGGCTAAATTTTAAGTGATATATATTGCTATCTTTTATCTTCAGAATAATATAATATTAAAAATTTAAATCTCTAATGCCCTAGTGTGCAAAACTTATATAATAAATTCTTTTTCTAAGATACAACCATAGAATTGTTCAAAAGTTCTTTTTGTGATCAATAAAATGAAAAGCTAACTCAAAGGTAATGCATATGCAAATATTAGCAACATGCCATAACAGGGCACTAAAATTACTAAAATGTAAGTTATGGCACTAAAATGCGAAGAGTCAGTGCACGTAGTACAGAGCAACTTAAAATACGAAAGGAAGACGCGTTTCCAGACATTTTTCTGCAAGGAAATGTTTAAATGAATGTGCAGTATGGCTACAGAGAAACATCAAGACGCCTCTTTAGAGTATGGCTACAGAGAAACATCAGGACGCCTCCTTAGACGTAGTAGAACGATTGACAAGCTTGAGGAAGGGCGTAGTTTCATGTCTATCGACCAAGCGTTTGGAACTGACAAAAGTATTGTTTCACGAGCCTTCCAGACGACAGGTATAGTTGTAGGTTGTTGATGGTCGGTTAAGAAAAGCAACGGTGACTAATGACCGATATATTGCCCTAAAAGCAAAAGGAGATCGAAATCAGACAGCTGGCAATATTGCTCATAAGTTGCGCAAAGCAACCGGACGACCGGTTGACCGGTTGACCGATATATTGCCCTGAAAGCAAAAAGAGATCGAAATCAGACAGCGGGCAATATTGCTCACCAGTTGAGCAAAGCAACCGGACCACAGGTATCCCATTGTGGCCAGCTGACTTCATAATAGTGGCCTATTAACCCACCATCCTGAACTCTGCATACCATTCATAAAAGACCATCTACTCCACCGTTTACAGTGGTCTTGAATACACAAAGCCTGAACACCTCACAAATGGATTCACCTCCCCAGAGTCGCTGTGCATAGCGTCTCTCCGGACGTAACAAAAGAGGACTTAGAGAAAGTCCTAGGCTCCGAATTCCATCTTTCCAAACAACAGGCAAAGGTCCTATATCGCCTAAAGGATAGATCCAATGGCGTCAAATGGGTTATCGAATGCAGCCCAGCGGCCTTCGCACAACTCATGCAGTCTTCAAGAATCTTCATTGGCTGGCGAGCGCATCGGATTGCAGAGTTCTTTAACACAAGTCGCTGCTTCCGATGCCAAGAATTCGGCCATACACAACAGGAGTGCAGAAACAAGATGTACTGCGGCTACTGTTCTGGAAGTCACCTCACAAGAGACTGCACAGCAAGAGCCCCCACCTGCATCAACTGTACAGATTTTAACCATCGTACCAACGGCAGACTGTACAGTGGACACCCAGCCTACGACACAAAATGTCCTACATATGCCAAATACGTTGAGCGCATCAGGCGCAGCACGACCTACGTCTAACCAGATTAAATTTACGGCAGACGTCTACCCAGATTGAATTTGAAGATGAGCCACTGCCTCCAACAAGCACCAGTGCACATCATGGCCCGATCGTTTCCTCTTCAGTTAATGTACCTCCTACACAAAAAGTCTCTATCAAATGTGTCCAAATTAACCTCCAAAGGGCGGAGGCTGCTACCGCACAAGTCACAACATGCCATAGATCACAATATAGATTTCTGTCTCATACAAGAGCCCTACACTATGAAAGGTCGTGTAGCTGCACTTCCTTATGCGTGGAAAATCTTTCAACTCTGCAGCACAGGAAGAGACCAAGCCCCACGTGCTGCCATTGTGTGTTGTAATCCCCTCTGGACGCCACAAGTGGTTCATCTGCATCGAGACTATGTAGTCATCCTGGTTATCTTCAATAACTCTCAATTCCTGCTCACTTCACTGTATTCGTCACCACAAGAAGACATTCAAGCCACCCTAGACCTCATAAGCGAGACCAAAAGAACATGCCCCAAACTCCCTCAAATAATATGTGGCGATTTTAACGCCCATAATGTCAACTGGGGCTACTCCACCACGAACCCCAAAGGGCAGCACCTAGAAGACTTTCTTGCAACCAATCATTTGCATCTGCACAATACTCCCAATGCCCCACCAACATTCGATAATTCATATAATATCGGGTGGCCAGACCTTACCATCTCCACGGAAGACATGAGCAATTACTTGCAATTCTGGTCAGTTTTAAATGAAGAAAGCTGCTCTGACCACTAATTACATCCACTTTCGAAATTAATTTGGATACCACTATCTCAATCATAAGACGGTTTAAACTTCCAGCATGCAAGATCCGTACTCTCTCGCGAGTTTTTTGCTAATCGCCTTACTCAGGAAGAACAACGCTTACAGCAATGCAATACCCCAGATGATCTGGAAACCTTCACGGAGCAACTGCTGGATCATTTGCACCATGACTGCCAGCAAATCCTGCCTTTTCGCACAGCGAAAAAATACAGGGCTTTTCATGGTGGAACAGGAGCCTTCGCCAACAGAGGCAAAAATGTAGAGCTCTTCGCCGACGCCTTCGCACTAACCTTGACGAAGACAACAGAGCTCACACTCTTGCAGCATACAGAAGGGAACGTGCAAATTATAAACGGACTATTCTGCAAGCGAAAGTATCCAGCTGGAGGGCTTTTTGTACCAGCAACAATAACCCATTTGGCATTTTGCACAAAATCGCAACCCAGAAAGTATTCCAGCCGGCTCAAATCCATGCTCTCCCTTCACCACAAAGCGCATCGGACAACCTTGCAGCAGATACTGATCGTGCTCTTCTGGATGCTATTTTTATAGCCGACTGTCCGGAAGATGACACACCAGAGCAGCGGAACATGCGCAATGACGAAAGCGTCCCAGACACCCCTGATGACTACCCTTTTAACAACAGAGAAGTTAAGCACATCTTTAAACACCTGCCTGTCAAAAAGGCCCCGGACCAGACGGCCTTGATTACGCACTCATTAAAGTGGCTTACAAAGCTCGACCCGGTTTTTTTCACCCTTCTTTTCAACAAGCTCTTGCAGGCGGAAATCTTCCCCGCAATCTTCAAAAAGGGACAAGTTGTCTTGTTCCTTAAAAAGAATAAGGACCCGACCAACCCCAGATCTTACCGGCCAATCTGCCTATTGTCATCCTTAGGAAAAATTTATGAGAAGCTGCTGATCAACCGCCTTAGCCACCATTTACATCGCAACCACTACCTGAGTCACCGTCAGTTTGGATTTCGCGCAGGATACTCTACAACGCATGCACTGCACACCATCCTTGAATGTGTTCAGAACAATAGATCTCTTAAGCTTCATACGGCATTTATTTCAATAGACTTGGAGAGTGCCTTTGACACCCTCTGGTGGCCTGCAATTAAGCAGGCCCTCAGAGATGTCAAATGCCCTGCGAACATCTATAAAGTTATCAACAACTATCTGCACGACCGGACCCTGCTAATCTCCAACAACAATGGTATCACTACAAAGTCGCAAGTTAGAGGCTGCCCTCAGGGCTCTTGTGCTGGGCCATTGTTATGGAACCTAACATTTAATGCTGTTTTAAATACCACCTGGCCGCTGCACACTACTATAGTGGCTTATGCTGACGACGCAGCTCTCATTGTTAAAAGGCCGGACCCGTGACGAACTGGAAAGGCATGGTACGGAAGTCTGCAAAATCTTCACCGACCTTTGCCAGAAGCTCAGACTAAATGTGTCCTACGATAAGACATCAGCCCTCATAATTCCCAGACCTGGAGTTAACCCCACCAGACGCCCCTGTATTAAATTAGGTGGAAGAAATATCAAGATCGTGCGCAGCCTCAAGTACCTCGGTCTCACCTGGGACCCGGGGTTAACGTGGATACCGCACGTTCAAGAAATCCGGCGCCGCACAACGGCTATAGCCACAAAGACCAGGCAATTTCAAGGTCATAATTGGGGCCAGAATGCTCATATTTTGAAGATACTCTATACAACGGTTGCTGAGAGAGTTGCCCTTTACGCTGGGCCCACCCTATGGGGGCAAGAAAAATCAGGCAACATTTCGCGCTCAACATCTGTAGAGCATACCGGACTACAGCAACGAGTTCTGCATTGATCCTGGCAGGCCTTCTACCCCTACATATCAAGGCACAGGCAGAAGCCGCCTACACTAGGCTAATTCACTTACGACGGGACGCCACCTTGAATGGCAGGACTCTCTGTCCGATCACTTTTGAACACCCTGGAGATGTCCTTCAAACACACCCAGCCCTTAAAGGCAAGGGAGTTCGAGTGACTATTTCTACAGAGCCTTCAGCAAACATGGCTAATGACAACAAAGCCTATATTTTCACTGATGGCTCCAAGTTCGAAAATGGAGTCGGATGCGCTTTTGTGCAATTTGAGAATCACATTACGACTTATGAATGGAAGGGCCACTTAGCTGACTCCAACAGCGTTTTCCAAGCAGAAGCGCTCGCTCTCACAGCAGCAGTTCAGCATATAATAGAAGACACCGGTATTAATAATGCAACCATCTTCTCGGATAGCGCATCTACATTGTACGCCATCCAGAACCATATGCACACGTCACAAATTATTATGAATTTGCAACAGATGCTAAGGCTCAACAGCTCCCGCGAGATTTCCATAAAATGGGTCAAAGCCCACGCAGGCATCCTTGGTAACGAGGCAGCAGACCAGCTTGCGAAGGAGGCAGCTAACAACATTGCAGCGCAAGAGCTGTACGTTCCATCGCCTCCCTCTTACCTCAAACGTCTACTCAAGGATGAAGCTGCCCGCATATGGCAATCAGAGTGGGACCAAAGTGACACAGGCAGGAGAACTTATATGTTCTTCCCAAAAGTGTCCACTGACCGCACTATAGGAATTGCGCCATTGTCACACTACATCTCCGGACATGGCCCTTTCCCTACTTACTTCTGTAGGCACGGAATCTCAACTACAAATGTATGTGTGTGTGGCAACGAAGGCACACCCGACCATTATATCTACCTACCAATGCCCACTTACGTCGCAGCACCACCTGCCTACACCATCCAGCAATGAAGAGGCATTCTACCGCTTCACTATCAAAAATAAGACTACGACAAATAAAATCTGCCGCATTCTGAAGGCAATAACGGCATTAGGGCAAGACCTTTGTCAGCCTACTTAATATGAAGCCCCTCTCTGAGTCTGCAGCATGCATTTGTCAGCAACATGTGTTCTTGCATGTCTTGTCAAGTGTTCTGTTCTCAACAATTCTTCATGTACTTTTTTTTTTCTTCAGTAATTCATCATGTACTTTAGTCAGCCAATTGCATCATGTGTATCTATGCTTTACTGTGTGTACAATCAGTGTCACGGATGTCATATCTTCAGCCATCTATCATCAACCATATGCTATTATACGTCTTTGTGTGTACCTTGTACCTCGGGTGACATATCTTCAGCTATCAATCATCAGCCATGTGCTATTATGCATCGTTAATATCATTAAGTGTACCATACTAATGTTTATCTGCATCATTTAATTGTCTGCATTTTGTCTACACGCAAGTTTTGTTTGTGCACTATTGTCGTTTTAGCATCATGTGGTCAATAAGTACACCACAACATGTATATTTGCATGTCTTATTCTGTGCACTATTAACCGCTCAGTGTACTATTAGTATCTTGCATCATGTATCACCATCATCACATTACATCACGTATACATGAATGGACAATTGTGTGTTACTATCAAGTCACGCGTGCCTTATCATCAACTGTATGCTACTATGAGTCTCATAATTTTTATGTGCACCATATTAATGTTTATTTTCTTCATGTGTCTGCATCATTTAATCGTCTGCATCGTTTATATGTGTACTATTTGTCATCGAGTATATGTTCTGCATATATGTGTGTACTGCATCGTACAGTGTGAACTATTAGCACCATTACGTCAAGTACTCTTGTCACTATGCTGTAACACGTATCTTTGTATGCTCACATGTGTGTACTATTACCTGTTATGTGAATTACTAACTTTATTGCATCATGTACTATTACCATTATATTGCATCCTGTATATCATTGTATCATGTACCTTAGTCCTTACTTTGCATCTTGTATATCTACGCGTTTTTTCTTGTGCGTACTATTATTATCATGGCTTCATGAACTACTGTCATCACATTGCTTCACGTATATATGCGTGCCTTATTGAGTGTCCTCTCAGTATCACACGCGCTGTTTAAATAATTACGTGCTATTATGCGTCTCATAACATCATCAAGTGTTTCGTTTTTATGTGTCCACATTATTTAATTGTCTGCATCGCGTTTATCTATGTGTGTTCGGTGTTTATTTAGTTACGTGTATTTTAGTGTATCTTAGTGTACCTTCTTGTGTTTTTAGTGCTTTATGTGTTTCTTCATGTTTTTCTTTATATGTTTCCATTTATGTTTTATGTTTATGTCTTATTTTGTTCTACCTCTGTAACCATAACCTTCAGTTGTCTCACGTTCTTACAATGTACTACATGTAGTCTAGCCCTTGTATGGCCATGTTAACTTTTAAGATCCTAATGGACTCCCGGGGCGGCCTCATGGGGCTCCAGGGAGTTTTTGCCTCTACACAGTGGAGGACGCGGGGTATATGCCTGTTTACCTATGTTAGACACCAGGCGCCCCCGTCCTCCGTCACCTGTCACCTGTCCCCTTTACCGATGAGTGTTGTTTCAGTTTTACAAACAATTCTCGGCGCCAAATGATATGGAGAGAGGTAGGGACTTCAACATCAGGGAAAGAGACCGTTTGGGTGGTCCTGGCATGCTTGTATGGAAAAGGCATTAGGATGAACGAATGGATGGAGCTAAACATTTTCTATAGAGGTTCACTTACCAGAGTTCGTTACTGTGATGAATTTACCCTCCCTCACGTAGGTCTTTTCCGGGGTGCCACTGGTCCCGACTTTGTTTTTATGGATAATAATGAATGGTCATACAGTACTCATGGCGCTAAGGAATTCCTGGAAAATAAAGATATCCGCAAAATGAACTGGGCAGCGTGCTCCTCTGATTAAATCCCATTGAACATGTGTGGGATACTTTAGAGAGACGCCTGGCGGCACGATCTTACTCACCGGAGAACAACAGACAACCAAAACAGATACTCATGGAAGAATGAGAACTCTTTACCCAAGAACTAATGCTGAGTGATCTGGTCTGAGTATGGTACAGACGGTGAAAAGCAACATCTGTAGTTAAAGAAAGTCATATCATTCTATAGGGCTCTTTGGTTGGTTGTTCTCCCTCTTGGTTAGACAGTATTTTGTAGTGATGCCTTTCTATCGATAAAGCAGTTCTCTGTTCTTTCCATATAGTATGCGGCTATTTTTTTTTTTTTTTTTTTTTTTTTTTTTTTTTTTTTGCTTTAACACGTTCCTTATCCTTTAAATACCTACTACTACTACCTTTGTAGTATTGCAATTTATGTCTCCCATCTGATTTTTTGTGTATTTTTTCAAAATAAAGTATTAAATTTGTGCAGCAGCTCCAAGGAATTTTTTAATATAAAGTTCGTACAGAAATTCGTTTCTGTTAAAAAATTAAGAGTGTCTAGGATACGGCTATTTAAAGCAATAACAAATGCACATGAGCGAAGCAGTATTTTTCAGTTTCGAGCTGATTCTGGCTTCAGAGCCTATTTTAAATTATATTTAATTTTTCAAAATTATGCCAGCCTCATATTTAAATTATTTCGATTATCTTTCTTGAAATTGTACAGTTCGGAGGTCAATCTCTATCCTGAAATGGGAAAATATCAATCAAACGTAAAGCATTTATTCGTTTCCATTTGAAGTTCTGTATAAAATAACTGTTGTGTTATCATTTCGTAGTTATTAAATACGAAGCTTATAATTTAGTAGCTATTCTCCAGTTCCCTCCCCCCCCAATTATTTTGTAGTTCACTGTGTTTTTCTTTCCAATAGCAATGTCTTCCTAATCTTTCATGTTTGAAAAGAGACCCCCTCAATTTTTTTTGGGGGGGTGGCTCAGATAATGTTGTTTTCCTATTTCCTGTATGCCTTTCGCATCAGCTTTTAACTTACGTTACATGTGCGCATTCCAGCATTAAGGGCTTACTCAAAACTCTGAATGAATTAATGTTAATAATTTTACACATTCTTAAAATTTCTGGAATAATAAAAATGTGGATATGATACTGAACTTTTATAATTTCTCAAAACGGTAGACTGCGACCTCATTTTATTTGTCACGCGTCTAAGTGTTACTTCAACAGCGATGAGGGCGAGCCCTCTGGAATCATGACGTCAGAAGAAGGTGTACAGGAGGAGTGGAGAAGAGAGAAATCTCATTCCGTCACGTAGAAATATTTGACAGCGATAGCATCCAAGATAAATGAACTTGGTAGTGGCAGAGGTCGGTAATCTGACAATCAAGTAATTTCAGAGTAACCCAAGGAGGAATACATTTATAACAGTACTTTGATTCTGACGATTTCTGTTTCGAAGAAAGCTGAAGGCAAGGACGCAGACGGGAGAAGGACGTATTACATGTAGCGAAATTCACCCAGAAAGTAGAAAAATTATTGCATAATTCAGAACGATTATTACGCGTCTACACCTAGAACTGATTTTTATTTATGAGTTTTCCCAGTATCAGAAGTGAATTTTCACTCTCCCGTTTCTATTATACACATATTACTAAATAATCTACTGACATAAATGACGCAGATTATGAACAGAATTGTGTATAATAAACATAATGCAGCATGAAATTAGAACACACACAGAAATTTCTTACATAATATTTTCAGTTCATTGAAATTATTTACTTAGAACTCGTAAATGAGTAGAAATTGCCTAAGCAGACGTACTGAAATTGCAAGCCAGACATGAGATTTATATAGAGTAGTGCATAGACTATACTCATATATATTAACTTCTGTATAACAGAATAAATTCCTTTACCACAAACTATGTTTAGAATGTTTAGAAGTGTCATTTCATTACATTCATTGACTCTAATAGTTTACAAAACATATTGTTCTGCAAATCTGTAACCTCTAACTTATAAAAATGATAGGTATAGGCGATTTTAGACCACTAACAAGCAACTACTTACGTTCATATGATCAATCCACTTTTCTTCTCTTTTGAAAATTATTTTGAATTAAAGATATTGCATACAACTTCCAGCAAATAGGACTAACGCCGCCAACTCTGATTTTCAAATTGGATGGGGCATCACAGCGCTAAAGGATTACTGTTAGAATACAGAAGTTATGTTTTTGGTGGAATGAAATATAGGTTCTAGCAGCCTGTGACCTCGATCTTAGTAGACAAGATGCACGACAACGGGAACAAACTCATCAATTGATTTTAAAGTATGAACTTTGACTAGGGCATTAACATATTATTGAAAAGGAAAAACAATATACTGTGGATTATTGATAAGAAAAAACAATATACTGTAAAAAATGTTTGAGTTTATGAATGTAAACAATGTAAAGCCTAATTTGGTTTTTCATAAAAGACTTTTATCTGTTATTTGATGATCAGTTTGCGTATACCTTGTATGTGCACTTCTTTGTACACATGTGCGCATGTGCAAACGATATGTATTTCAGATTAAAAAATCTTGAGCAATTTCTTTAAATGCAAGAGAAATGAGCAGTGAATTACTTGATCTGCCACTCTATACTGAATCTATAACTCCTCTGATACAATATTGTCCAATCTTTAAAACTTATTTAAGAAACTTATTTAACCAACTTATTTAAGAAACACATCAATTTAAAAAGAAAATGACTGCAGTAGTTAAATAAACTAAACCAATAAATGCTATTAAAATGTATGTTTGGAAGAAAATGATCTTATATTTTTTACCAAAGAAGTAAATTAGAAAAATAATATGGATTTAAAAAGCCTTCAGTAGAAAAAAAGAATATTTATACCTGATATACATTAAAGGGGAAAAAATACGAATCTGTAAGTAAATCTTACGAATGAAACCAATATGGACAAAGCGTTATTAGAAATGAGTTATATGTGAACTA